GTGATGCTAAGCAAAATGAACTACAAGATATGGAAACAAGAGGTTTTTCTCTGTTGTTGTAGTTGTTTTTAATGCACTATGTGATTTCTTTTTACTTTTGAGTTTTTTCCCTTATCCCCAGTTGTCATTTTATTTGATTTTGGTACCCTGTGTATTGTATGTTTATCTGAATAAGGAAGGGGAAGGTGAACAACAAAACAGTGAGACAAAGGACAGAGGGTAAACCAATGCAACAGTGATACTCACAAGACAATATGTTGGAAATAAAGGGGAGAATTGGGAAGGAGGGGATGAGGAAGAAAAATGAGGGAAGGTGTAACAAGTTCGACAAGAAATGTACTCACTACCTTATGTATGTAACTGTAACCCCTCTGTTTATCACCTTGACAATAAAATTAAATTAAGAAAAAAGAATTCAGAAGGAGCCAAACTTGTGAGGGAAGCAGATTGACTTTCTCTTGTTGAAAAAAATTTTTTCCCATTTTTCCATTTATTTCCCAATAATTACCTTTTCTCCTGTAGAAGAAATGAATTTGATTTGAAAAAAAAAGTGTTACAAGCTTTCTCTTTCATATTTCCTAGTAGTCTGAAACTCCTACTTTATGGTCAGAGGGATAGAAATAGGAAAAGAGAAGAGTAGGTCTTTACAAAGCAATTTATTTGCCAAAGGCAGCAAAAATACTTTTAATTTCACAATCTCTTATTGACCGTATTCATTCCAAGAAAAATGCCCCTGATAGCTTGAGGTTAGATCTATAGAGAAATGGCTTAGCAAAGCTTCTCTTTGATGAGTGAAAAATTGTAAGATATAAGAAGAACCAAATCCTTGTAGCTAAAATATATGATAGAAAGTTATCTGGGCTCTATGTGTGTGCTTTGAGTTTGCATGTCCATGTATTAATGGTTGCACATGAGCAAGGATACACGTATGTACATGTATATGTGTGTGTGTGTGTAAAAATGCTTATATCTACTTCCATAGTTATCAAAATGTTTATATGGCTTTTCTGATCAACTAACCCTTTTGTCAGTTATGAATATGATTGCATACACCTATTTTATACCAGCTGTTTGCTGTTTTATTCTCATGATTCAGAGCATCTTCTTGGATTCACTATATACTAAATTGCTATTATAATCTGAAAAATCTGTATTTGTACTAAACAGTCTCTTATTCTCTTGAAAATAATTTGGGAAGGTGTTTTTTAGTAGAATTTGCATGAGATCTTATATTTTCCTGTTAATGACTATGTTTTGAGGACAAGTAACATTCCTCTACCCTTGTGTTAAGGAAAGTACCAAGGTGCTTCATCCTAAACCAGTTAGAACCTCATTCCCCGGATAAGTCTGTTATGTTAGTTCATGAGGAGTCAGATCCCCAAATCTGCTGCAGCCATCTTACCACACAGAGGAGCCTGAAAAAGACCTGCGGAGACAATTATCATCTCACAGAAGGAAGAATGAGTAAGAAACAAATTCAGAAGACATATTTGTTTTATCTCATAGGCAAAAACCTGGGCTTTTCTAAACCCTGTTTTTACTATGGATAACTTTGCACATTTTCTTTCTTGCTTCAGGAGACTCTGCAAATGTAACCTCATGAAAAATGCCTTCCCTGACCACCATATTCAGTTTTCTTTTAAACTTTGTAAGTCATTGCTTCATGCCACATCTGTGATCTCATTACTGTACAGGGGAAACTTTATCTGTTGCATTCACAACAACAGTTCGGTATCTTGTACAAATCTCAGAAGATAGTACAAAGCTTGAAAAATACTTACTGAAAGAATAAAAATCAATACTTTATTAAAATGCATAAACAGAGGGCTCTTTTAAAATATTTAAATTATATACATGGAAATGTTGCAAATATATAATCTATTGCTATGCATATTCCTGGCCTAGACTGATCATCTGATCATATCTTGGCTTCTCCATCCACTAAGTAAGATCATCAACAAGTACAGATTTTCTTCCCCAAACACTGAAGTCAACTAAACAACTTACAAATAATTTAATATTAGAGGAAAAACACCAATCACAATAAATCCTAACCACACTTAGCAGGGTCAAAAGATAAAATGAAAGAAAATTTCAATCAAGTATTTCTCTACATGAATTTTACAAACAAAGCAAGACAGGGAGTAAAGCTGAATAAATATTTGGCCTCTACCTCTGTTGGATGGTTAAGTTGGGTGGTAGAAGAATGAGTCTGAATAGTAGATAATATTGCTAGGTTTTTAATGCTATTTGTTCATTTTATACTACAGGTGGATTTCAGGTATTCTAACTCAGAGGAACTTGTTGGATTAAATACACTATGATATATGGTATTATTCCCCTCTGTATTGTCCCTAGCAAGACATGGTAAGTAGTAGAAGAAGTGTCCAGTGGGAGGAGCTGGAATCCCCACAGGTGAGTCAAAGAGAAAAGATGGCCTTCTCTACTCACAAGGAGAACCATTTCCTCTCATCCTGCAGTCCTGACACTTTCCCTCTGGAGTATAATAAAATCTCACTGTGGTCCAAGTAGGCTATATGACTCCACCTTTCATGACTTAGACATGTCTCTAAATGTGGGGATACATAATTTTTTAGATATGAACTAACCAGAAATGCAGTTGCTACAGTCTTATGGGTCCCATGGATTTATCCTAGGAATCTTATTTGGGCTGTAGCCATTTGATCTTCTCTTGTTGCAACAGGGGCAGAAGAGCAAGACCAAGAATCAAGATCCCATTTTAGAGAGAATAAAGAAGTTTATTGTCACCAATTCAAACCAGGATAGGGCCAGAAAGAAATTCTGATGATGAGGGAGGGTAGATCCCGTGTTTTATATAAGCTGGTCTCACACACACACACATACACACACACACACACACACACACACACACACACACACACACACACACACACACACACACACACACACCAGGTCATTACTTACAAAGGCAAAGGCTGGGTGGAAGGGGGTGACATCAACTCCAGGCCAGGTAGGCAATTTCTATCTTGTGGGCTTTCTGTTATTAATCCAGATAGCCCCTCTTGGTCTTCCTCAACCCCATATTCTGGTGGACAGCCTCACCTAGCCACATCCTGGTTAAATGACCCTTGCTGGGAATATAGTTACTAGGGAGGGATAACTATGTCTACTTCACTCTAGAATATAATAGTTCTTTTTCATAATTTTTAAATCAGAGCAATTACCAAAGACCGTTCCTCTATTTCTCATGTTATTGACAGATTCTCAACAGGTTTCAGGTGAGGCCTGGGGAAATCTAAGAACTTTTAACTTCTTCATATGTTTAAATAAATAACTTTTAAAAATTAAAATCTTAAAATATGATTGTTTGTTTACACTTTTATTATGAGCACCATTATATGAGTTCATGAATATAATATGTGAGCTACATAAAACACTTTTATATGAGAAAAGTTTTAAGCTTGCTCAGGGGGAAAATACCAGATCATTATCTCTAAAATTAAAAACTATGAAATTGCTAAAAATGTAATTTTGTATTTAGTTCATGGAGTGTGGATAATTTCAACACTAAAAGAAAATGGTAGGTGTCAGAGACACAATGGCATCATTTCACATTCTGGTTTGTGATGTTGATTTAAGACTCTGTTTGGCTGACTAGTCCCCGGTTAGGCTCTGCAATCTGAGGCTCTTTACAAGACTACAAGCTGGAGGCAGCAGAATGGGCATGTGTGTGCTTGCCAGCTGTTACAGTCAACATAATTTAGCAATGGGTCCTTTACCCCAATGGAAGCAGATAGTTGCCAGAGTAACAGATGTGTTCACTTTCCAGACTGCCTCAAGACCCTCAGCATACCTGTCCATACGCAAGCATGTATCATCATCTTTATTTCACCTTAAGGTGGTAGATGTTTTCCCTACTACCCTTTTAGCCACTGCAGTTAAGGCAAAGAAGTCTCCTGTGATGGGATGAGTCTATTTAATCATGGAAGCACTACACAAGATGTTAGGCCAGAGTCAATTGACTGCCCTGTGACAGAATCTGGACCTTCGTCACAAGGCAATGAGATGGCATGAAGATTTGCAATGGAATTACATAAGGGTTAGAGCTGTAGAAAGAGGTATAGCAAATATGGCAAATGTCAAAGGGTCATTCAACCCCCACTCCCTCAGAAGAAACACTTACGTGGAATAAGCTTATGTGGAAAACTTTGTTTCACTATAAGTATGAATCAGTATTAATTATGGATTTCTTTATTAATACGCTATAATGGGTATAACTATAAATAAATCTATTACTTGCAGGATTTCAAATTTTTAAAGAAAGTATATGGGACAAGACTAAAAGTAACCTACACAGATCTTACTTAACCTGTGCAGTTTATTTTTAGTCTGACTTGTGCATGCCGTAAGATAGATAAATAAATGTGTATATATATATTATATAGAATGTATTTATTCTATATATTTTATTTTATATAGAGAATTTATTATGTATAATAAATAAAAATAAAAACATACAGTGATTTCAGACTATAGCGTTATTATTCATAATATATTTATGTCTTATGTTAAATAGTAGAAAGGGCAGTAAATTCAAATGTGAAGATTTCAATTCAGGATATAGTAATCTATAATCTTGTTGTTTTTCAGTATAGAAGTACATTAAACCTTTTATGAGTCAGATTCTTGTCATTCTATTTCTTTTGAAATAGAAATATTCTATGCTATGCGCTACAATTTTTTTTGTCGGTCATGGCGCTTGAACTTTGGGCCTGGACTCTGTACCTGAGTTCTTCAGCTCAAGGCTAGTGCTCTACCAGTTGAGCCACAGTGCTACTGCCAGTTTTCGAGTAGTTAATTGGAAATAAGAGTCTCATGGACTTTCCTGCCCTGGCTGGCTTTCAACCATGATCCTCAGATCTCACTCAGCCTTCAGAGTAGCTAGGATTACAGGCATGAGACCCAGCTCCCAGCTGTACTATAATTTTTTAATATGTATTTTTTATTGTAAAGATACTGTACAGAGGAGTTACAGTTACATGAGCAAGGTAATGATTCCATTTCCTATATAATATTGTTACCCCCTCCTTTCTTTTTTCCCTACCATCCCTTTCCTCCCCACCTCCCCAACTCCTCCTACCCCTCCCAAGATCCTCCTCACCCCAGCAAAGTTGTAAAGTTCGTTTTCGACATAGTGTCTTATACATCTCATTGTTACAATGGGTTATCCTGTATCTTTATTTCAGCATTATGTTAATTCCCTTCCCCTCCCCAAATTAGAAAAATGTATATACAAGATTCAGGACACCAGAATCAAATACAGTGACAACAGGGATTGTACCGTGAGGGAAGAACATACAAAAGAAACAAAAAAAATCACATAGTGCATTATAAGTACATTAAAAAGATAAAATCTCTTGTGTCCCTATCTTGGGGGTCATTTCACTTAGCATCAGGTTATATGGTCAAATGTACATAGCTTTTGACCTTTTCTGCTTGTTTTAGACATATACCAGTTATTGCAGGTAAGGGAAACTATGGGACCTATGTTTCTTTGAGTCTGGCTTACTTCATTTAATATAATTTTTTTCCAAGCCTTTCCATTTCCTAACAAATGGGGTTGTGTCATTCTTTCTGATGGAGACATAGAATTCCATGGTGTGTGTGTGTGTGTGTGTGTGTGTGTGTGTGTGTGTACAAATATATACATATATATATATCACATTTTCTTCATCCATTCATCTACTGAGGGGCATCTGGGTTAGTTCCATATCTTAGCTATAGTGAACAATGCTGCAATAAACATAGTTGTGCTAGTAGCTTTAGTATGGCTTTCTCCTTGTTTGTTTTCATTTGGGTAAATGCCCCGGAGGGATTGCTGGGTCATAGGGGAGCTCTATGTGGAGTCTTTTGAGGAACCTCCATGCTGCTTTCCAGAGTGGTTGAACAAGTTTACACTCCCACCAACAATGCAATAAGGTTCCCTTCTGTCCACATCATCCCCTCCAGCATCTGTTGTTATTAGAGTTCTTGATTATAGTCATTCTAATGGGGTGAGGTGGCATCTCAAGGTTGTTTTGATTTGCATTTCTTTTATGGCTAGAAAAGTTGAGCATTTCTTCATGTGTATTGGCCATTCTTAATCTTCTTCAGAGAAGTCTCTCTTTAAGTCTTTAGCCCACTTATTACTCGGGCAGTTGTTTCTTTGAGGATTTGTTGTTGGGGGATTTAATTTTTTGAGTTCTAAGTATATTTTAGATATGAGGCCCTTGTCTGTTCTATGGCTAGTGAAGATCTTCTCCCAGTCAATGGGCTTTCTATTGATCTTGCTGAGATTCCACCTCACCCCAGTTAGAATATAATCAACAAATCCAATAACAACAGATGCTGGTGGGAATATGGCCAAAAGGGAACCCTACAGCATTGTTGGTGCGATTGTAAACTTGTTCAACCGCTTTGGAAAGCAGTATGGAGGTTCCTCAAAAGATTACACATAGACCCCCCCCCTATGACCCAGCAGCCCACTTTTGGGCATTTCCCCCAATGAAAACAAACAAGGAGAAAGCCATATTAAAGCCACCAGCACAACAATGTTTATTGCAGCATTATTCACTATAGCTAAGATATAGAACTAACCCAGATGCACCTCAGTAGATGAATGGATCAAGAAAATGTGATACACACACACACACACACACAATGAAATTCTATGCCTCCATCAGAAAGAATGACATTGCCCCATTTGTTAGGAAATGGAAAGACTTGAAAAAAAATGTATTAAGTGAAGTAAGCCATCCCCAAAGAAACATAGGTCCCATGTTTTCCCTTATTTGCAATAACTAGTATATATCTAGGATACTCTTACCAGGCAAGTAGAAAAGGTCAAAAGCTATGCACATATGACCATATAAGATGATGCTAAGCAAAATGAATCCCAGGATAGGGACACAAGAGGTTTCATCTTTCTTGATGTTGTTTGTAATGTACTTACAATGTCCTATGTGACATTTTTTGTTTCTTTTGTATGTTCTTACTCCATGGAATAACTCCTGTGTTCAATGTATTTGATTCCAGTGTCCTGAATCTTGTATATACATTTTTCTAATTTGGGGAGAGGAAAGGAAATAACAATATGCTGAAATAGAGAAATCAGTTGACCCATTGTAACAATGACATGTACAAGACACCACGTTGGAAATGAACTTTATAACTTCAGGAGGCAAGGGGAGGAGGTAGGGGGAGGGAGTAGTTTAGTAGGTGAGTAGGGAAGGGATGGTAGAGAAAAACCAAAGGCGGGGGTAACAATGTTCAATAGGAAATGTACTCATTACCTTACTCATGTACCTGTAACCCCTCCGTACAGTATCTTTACAATAAAAAATATATATTAAAAATCAATATAACAAAAACTCAGTTGCTAAACTGCTCCCATTGTACAATACTCTTGACATACATCTGTACAACTCTATCCATTTATCATTTCTAGAGTCGCATTTAACATTCACTAATCACTTTAAACTTATTTGTCTTATTTAAAGAACAATATTCATGGGATTTGCATAATTTGTTTTCACAGAAATCATTAAAATGTATGTTCGCTTTAGAACATTTTGAAGTATAACTGATGTTTTGAAAAAAAAGAATTTCCTTGTTAAAAGTCTGTGTAACAAAAGTGTCTTTAGAACATTTTTTCTTGTGCAATAGGAGTGGGCTAGGTGATATTATTGACTTTTCTTTCTTACATTTGTAAAGGAACACTGGATGCTCAATAAACACTTGTTGATGGATGACTCAAACTTCTCCTATCTCTGGGGAGTCAAACAACTGCTATCTATCACATTTATTCGTGGAACTATGCAGTGCCTTTTCCTTTGTGTAGTGTTTTACAAATCTATTTTAAAGATAAATGTATTAGGACACTAATACTTCATGCTTTTGTATGTGTGCAGATTCATTATGATATTTCTCCGTGTATATGAACTGCTGAAGGTGAGATGAAGGAGAAAGTGACTTCCACAATTTGTTGTTCACAATGTGAGAAAATTTAAACTTATTTTAATGAATAACCTTCCCTATATGATCCATATTGAGTTTCTGATGAAGTTGGGTATTCGTCTATACTCAGTCAGGTTACTTGTTCTTTATGGCTTTCATTAGAAAATGTGGGGGATGATGTAAATGCCTACAAATAGTTCGTATATCTCATCATAGGTTTTACAAATATAAGACTAAGAAGACTAAATCAGTAAGCCAACACAAATATTGCTATTTTGTGGCTACTCAACTTGGAACACTAACTACTTATGCAAAATTATCATGAAACATCATTGCACTATTTTCATGTGCTGAGTCTGAACACATATACATACACACCGTGGATGTATAAATGGGATATTTTGAGCATGTGTATGAAAATTTACTTCTACTGTATTTGTTAAGCTATAAAATACTGCTGAACACCAGTGCCTCATGTCTGTAATCCTAGCTAGTCAGGAGGTAGAGATTAGGAGACCAGCTGTGAGCAAGACAAAGATTTCATGAGACATTATCTCCACAGAAAAGGTTGGACATGAAGATCTGGCTTGTCAGCCAGCTAACTAACATAGGCAGAAAATAGCAATAAAAATATTGTGGTCCAAATAAGCCAAGACAAAAAGCAAGAGTCATTTTCATAAGAATAAGCAATGCATTTGGGTCCTCAGCTCTGAAAAACAAATGCAAACTTTAACTCCCATTTCCTTCCTAGAAACAGGAAATGGGTCCTTCTTCCCTACTTTAGCTTTGTTTTTAACCATCTAGCTAGAGTTCTGGGTTTCTCTTAATGGCACACACTTTCTCTATCTTTCTTCTACTAAACTCCTTGCTTTGCCACATTAATAATAATCAGTGCAAAAAAGGGTTGGAAGCATCATTCAGTAATAGAAGACCTGCCTAGCAAGCATGAAGATGTGAGTTCAAATCTCAGTACTTCCCTTCACCCTAAATGTAGAAGCTCTTCAGTAAGTCTTATAAATCCAATAAATTAAACATTAGTTTATTTTACACATGAGGATAACTTATGAATTTATTCATCCTTCCTTGTATTTTCTATTTTAAAGTTGAAAATTTTGCTGGGTGCTGCTGGTTTGTGCCTTGAGCTAAAGAGCTTGGGGACCGTGCCCAGACCCAGAGTTGAAGCCCCATGACCGACAAAATAAAATAAAATTGAATTTTTTTTATAAAGCACATGTTTGAAATTGGACTTTCAAGATGAAAATGCTTAATTTTCTGAGAAAAAATTAACAGAAATATAGATTACAATGAATTTATGTCAAATTAATATTGGCTTATCTTACCCATTTCACATTCAAATTTTTATCTTCTTTGAGTAGATGAATTACTTATTTAGATAAAAAAAACAGAAGCAGTACCTGAAATGAACTGAAATTATCTTAACATTTGAACCACTGTCCATATCCAATCCTCATGTTGATAAGAATAGCCTAACTCTACCTGAAGGTATTTGACTAAGGCTTAGACATTATTAAACACTGTTAAGTTTAATGATAGGACTTTGTTGGAAGTACCATTAGTTATATCCTTTTCCTTAAATAAGCTAAGCCATTGAAGGCTAGGCCAATTTACCTATTTAACAGATCCTTCCCTTGTGTCTGGCTGCCTTGGGCAGAAAGCTGACAACTAAGCAGTAATTCTTTTGTTGATCAGCTGTCAAATTGGACTTCTTTGAACAATCCATGGATGCCTGAGGAAACTCTACTTCAGCTGTAAGGAGAACTTCAACTGAAGCCACAACTCCTGCTTCTGGAGGCCTTGCTCCTGTCAGGACTATTCTAGTCTACTCAGGACTTGGAAGACATTACTCCTTGACAAGCCTCACTGAGTCCCAGAGTACCGTACTTACCCTGAGTTATTCCCACTCAGGATGAGGGAGAAGCAGTGCTTGACAGACTCACTGAGCATTTTCTACAATTGTTACAACTGTAGATTAAAAGTGTCCACTCTTAACAATCCAGGAGTGGATGAATGATTTTATTGAATGCTATTCTACAACTCTGCATAGTGTTCAGCTATAGGACTGGATACTGTATTGCTTGTTGGATCTGCTTGAAATTGAGCCATGACTTGTGACATTCGCATGTGGGTCTGTGTTTTTCTAATGTTTCAGTATTCACTATGCTCTTGTTTTAATGAGATAGCTAAGGCATCTGCATACTGTTATGTGGCACCTATATTATTATTGTTACTACTTTTATTATTACTATTATTACTTTTTTATAATTGAAAGGAGCTGCCATGTCCTAAGACCAAAACAAACAAGCAAAACCAAACTTGTGCCTGTATTTACCTTATCTGTTAACAATTCTTTTTTGTTGGATCCCTAATAACAGAAATATTCATGATGTCACACTCCAGATAGAAATATTGTAGGAAATTTTGCTGCAAAAAGAATTTTTTTTTATTTTTTGGTCGGTTGTGGTGCTTGAACTCGGGCTTGGGCACTGTCCCTGTGCTCTTCAGCTCAAGGCGAACACTCTACCACTTGAGCCACAGTACCACTTCTGGTTTTCTGGTGGTTTATTGGAGATAAGAGTCTCATGGACTTTCCTGCCCTGGCTGGCTTTGAACTGAGATCCTCAGATCTCAGCCTCCTGAGTAGCTAGGATTACTGGTGTGAGCCAACAGTGCCTGGCTTACAAAAGGAATTTTTATCTTTACCAGTATATTTATTAAAAAAAAAAAAACTGCATTTAAAATTAACAGAGAAATTGTGTCATTTTACAGATTTTGCAAATTATGCATAAACAAAATTAGATCAAATATTATCTATAAAATGTGTTAGTGCTTTCTCCCAGATAATTGTTCCTCTCTGTTTTCTATTATTTCAGATATTATATCTAATTAGGTATGCAGTTCATTGAAAGCATTGCTAAATTTATAGCTTTTGCTATTATGCAATCTTCAATGGATGTTAAAACATAATTACATGCATTTGGATCACATAGAATATTGTAATATTAAATTTTGTCAACGTGTTGAAACAATGATGAATAATAAGTAACCCCTGATTTCAAGGAGTTTAAATCTTCGTGAAAGGAGAGTATGTGTGAAGTGTCAGAGAATAATGCATGCTGCTGCAGTGCAGGTGTGGGTTGAGATTCAGAGAAGAGGAAATTAACCCACTTTGGAGTAATTTTTAAAAGCTTCAAATTTCAGTTTATTTTTTAAATCAGATCCACTCCTGTTATTCTTCAATTTTTTTACCATATTTAATTAATTTTTATTGGAAAGGTGATTACATAAGTCAAGTAATGAGTACATTTCTCTTTGAACAGTGTCACCTCTTCCCTCATTTTGTACCAGTTTTTCCCCACCCATACTCCTCCTGCACAAGTTGTATAGTTTGTTTTCAACACAGTGCCTAGGTAGTATCACTGCTGCATTTGTTCACTCTTTGTCCCACCATTTTTGTGCTCTCTCTTAACCTCCCCAAAACAGATAAACTTACATACAAAACAAAAAGTACACAAATCAAAAACAGTGACAAAGGAGAAAATATCGTTACAATAAAACAAAAAACAAAAATAACAAAAAAATCTTATTTCTACTTTTGAAGTTCATTTTGATAAACATCATTTTATATGATCGTGTACACATAGCTATTGAGCCTTTGTGATCCTCTCCTGTGAATATTCTTTTTTTGTCTCCCGTGTGAATGTTTAGAGTCCTAAACAATTAATCATGTCTAAGTGCATTTTTTTGTCTTTAACCATCCAATGTGTTTACTTATAAATTCTTTCTAATGGTTACAAATGAGGGAAATCCCTGCAACCTATGTTTCTTTCTATCTGGCTTACTTTGCTTAATATCATTTTTCCCAAGTCTTTCCATGTCCTTACAAATGGGGCAATGTCATTCTTTCTGATAAAAGCATTGAATTGTACTGTGTCTATATACCACATTTTCTCAATTCATTCATCCATTGAGGGGCAGATGGTTAGATTACATATCTTGGCTATGGTAAACAAAACTTCAGTGAATATGGTTGTGCTGGTGGCTTTAGTGTGGCCTAATTTGTGGTCAATTGGATAAATGCCCAGGCGTAGAATAGCCTATAGGGAAGCTGCATGTTTAGTGTTTTGAGCAACTCCCATAGTGCTTTCCAGAGTGGTTGAATAAGTTACAGTCCCCATAATGGTGTAGAAGTGTTCCCTTTTGGTCACATCCCTGCTAGCATCTTTTATTGTTAGTTTTCTTGACAATGGCCATTCTAACTGGGGTGAGGTAGAATCTTAATGCTGTTTTGATTTGCATTTCTTTTATGGCTAGAAATGTTGAACATTTCTTCTTTGTCTATTGGCAATTCTTATTCCTTCTTCTGAGAAGTCTTTCTTTAAGTCTTTAGGCCATTTTTTAATTGGATCGTTGTTTTTCTGAGGGTTTGTTTTTGATGGGTTTAATTTTTTGAGCTCCACAAACTTCATAGGTTTTTTTGGAGCTGAAATAAATATAAAACATGCTATTTAGATTCAAATTTAGTCAGTTTCCTACTAAAACTTCAGCATCTCTGAACATATTTAAATCTGACCTTTTATATATGACCTGGTAAATATCACAAATGTTTATTTTTAATGGCATATAATCACACCTAATTTAATTACACATAATTTGTATTTTAATAATCAAAGATTGGTAGCCTCTAGCCCAATTGCCATATCCAGTTACCCTATTTATTTACCATCTGTGACTATCTTTCAAGAGAGATGACTTTGAATAGTATAAGCAAAATTCTGGTATGCAAATCTGAAACTATTTTTTCTCTAGTTCTCAGGAAAGTGATGAGTGCATTTTAGTTATGTTGCATAATGCATTCCTGAAGTGTTCATAGAAACTCATACTTGTCCTCACAGCTCAGTCCTGGTTCTCACAGCATCTCCTTCTTTACCCCTCTCTCCTTGAATTGTCTCAGGAAATAAGAACAATTATCTCATGTACATATGCGTATTAAACATGGTGGAGGTGCTCCCCTTTCCTCTCAAATTTTAGCTGCCTGAACTAATTTAGACCTAAAGCCTAATTAGTTCCCTCTCTATCCTATAGGTTGTTCTGGAAACACTTGGGAAATAACAACTTTTAATTACCTTTGAGAAAAATCTGCTCAACAGCAGTGAACCAGTGTTTCATGCCTATAATCCTAGCTACTCAGGCAGCTGAGATCTGAGGATCATGGTTCAAAGCCAGCTCAGGTAGGAAAGTCCATGGTACTCATCTCCAATAAACCACTAGAAAACCAGAAGTGGTGCTGTGACTTAAACAGTAGAGCATTCGCCTCAAGCTGAAGAGCTCAGGGACAGTGCCCAAGCCCAGAGTTCAAGCCCAAAGACCGACAAAAATAAATAAATAATGTCAGTTGACAAGTATTTTTTCCATGCATGCATACAATTTACCCTAATCAAATGTACTCCCTTTATCATTTGCCCTCTTTCTCTGTTCCCCTCTTCTTAAAGCAATTTGGATGAGATTCATTAAGCTATACTCATACATGCATATGAAATATTTCCACCATATTCACTCTCTTTCAACCTCTCCATTAGTCCTCCCCACTCCCTCTGGTACCCACTGACATTGGATGCTCTATAAATGTGTGGATATACCACAATGAAGCCCTCTTGTATTACCAATTTATGGTAATGAAAATGCTCTGAAAGAACAGAAAGTTTATTAAAGGATTACTCCTTACCTTGCTTTGAAAAAATGCAGAGTCAAAGTGAGAAATATGCCCTCCACTCTAAAACATTGGTCTGTTTATAGAGAGCATATATAGTTATAAAAGTAACTGTGACATTGGCTGCAACATGAATCACTTGAAATATTTTCTGAAATGGAAATGTAAGAGAGGCGTTTTCCAAATAAAAGGAACACATGAGCCAAATTATCCTTACTACAGATTCATCCTTTTGCTGTCATTAAGCCTCCATGAGCATGCAATTGCAAGTGATATCACTGATAATATCCAGTCCAATAATAAAAATTGTTGTCAGTCTTACATTCAAATGTCAGCATTCAGTTTAAATTTCAGATATTCATTGTGATTGAAGAGCCAATTAGACTATTTTAAGATAAAAATTTGATCCATAGTATTAAATTAATCCAAGGTACTGAAGAAAGATTGATAAGCAGCTACAGCAGTGTCTTAAAGACAATATAATTTCTCTCGTAATTTCCCCTATTTTTATTATATTCTGAAGGATATTTTATTGACGACATTCAAATAACTATGTCCATATTTAGGGATACATACCATGGTCATCATGAACACTTGCACTGAAATTTAAAATTGAGAAACAAGTTTGATTCATAGCTCCTAAAACCATATTTCACACATAAAAAAGCATTTGTTTTTCCTAAGACTTACTGATCTCACATTTAAAGTATGTTCAGCTCACAGATTACACACAAACAGAAAGGCCCCTTCTTCCAGAGTCCAGTTGAACTGAAGGAGTACAATACCATCTAGTGTTGGACACATACAGTGTATACTCCCACAAAGAACAATGAGAGACCAAGATAATACACAGTAAGTAATAGAAAATAAACCCTGCCCCTTAAATAATCTGAGAAGCAAATGCTGTCTAGAAATGATTGTTCCTCTCTTCTTTCCTCTGTTTTATGTCTTGTACCCAAATTGTCAGCTAGAGAATAATCAGTCTTAGCTGGTCACTCAAACCTGTCATCTTCACTACTCAGGAGGCTGAGATCTGAGGACTGTGGTTCAAAGCCAACTTAGGCAGACAAATACAAGAGACTATTATCTTCAACTATCCACCAAAATGCTAGGAATGGAGCTGTGGTTCAAATAGTAGCCTTGAGGGAAAAGAAAAAAACACCTCAGTGACAGCATCCAGAACCCAAGACCCATGATCTGGACCTGCACCAAAAAAATAAATAAATAAAAATCAGTCAGTCTTGGTTGTATTGGGTGAGTTGGAGGAGAATGATAAAAGGATAATATTAATCAAGATATATTGCACTTATAAATTGATTGTTGAATTCTAAACTCTTTATACAACTACTTAACGATAATTTAAAACATCAATCTTCTCAGTAATAATCTTGCCATTTTTCTATGGACTGATTACTAAGCAATGTCTTCACAACATGATATATTTAGCATAGATCTCCTTATATGTCAATTAACTTCCCACAGTTTCTATTTATCCCTAATCAATTGCAGTCCTACTCTGAAAATATTAAGGGAAAAAATATTCATCATTCCCCCAAATTTTCTTCTGTCTCTATGCAAGCCCTCTGCCTACTCCCCATTCCCAGGAGATAGACTGAATTGTGTCCACTAAATTCAGATACTGAACTCCTGAGTTCCAGAAGCTCAAGGTGAAGACCACTTTTACACAAATATGAGTGTCATTCACATTTCCAATGTTCCAGTCACTTTGGAACCTCACACCAGAGAATCACCCTTCATCACTCTTTCTCCTTCATTCCCCTTGTCAACTAACCCAGATAGTTCCTTGTGAAGATTTGCAATCTATGTTTCCTCGCCACATTCACTGCTTCTATCCTTATTTGGCCTCAACTGAGATTCTGAAATCCAGATGTTCCCGGACCCCTCATGTTTACTCTCTGAACTTTTCAATGCTCCTGCAAATCATGTGATTGATGCCTGAGGACAGTGCTGTGTGTAAAAGCTGACTGGATCCATTCTCATAGCACAGCATATCACATTCATATCTTTTCATAACCTAAACATCTATACTGCCAATCTCATTCTCAAATCTCATTACTAACAATTCTATCTCAATTCCGAAGTCTACCTTCCTGAGCATGACACTTTCAGTTGCTTCCATATTTAATCCATTACATGATATCTTCCTTACATTTCCTTCTTTTCCAGATCTGAGCAATGATCCACAAATACTGGAATGGCTAGCTCATTTCTCCATTCGTCTAGAGCCTTCCATGGCTCAACAAGTCTTGAAGAATGTTCTTCCTCTCCCAAGCACATTACACAATGTTCAATCATTTGTGAGCACAGGCAAGCTCATAAATGCGTATGCATTCTTAGTCTCTTGAACAATACCTTTCATGTAAAAGGTTCTCAATGATGTTGGTTAAATGAATGATCAGTTGGGTTATAATTTCCCTAGAGATTCTTTTCTTTATACTTTTTTTTGCTATAGCTGCTTTCTTTTTTAAATTTTATTTATAGCTTTAAGAAGCTTTACAACAGAGTTGCCATTCAACAAAGTAGTATATGAATACAATGAATCATATTATTTTATTTCTTGTTCTTTATTCTTGTAGAAGAAAAGGCTGAAAAGAGAAAGAGCACAGCTTGAAACCAGTATGGGGAATGAA